CTTTATAAAAAGACCAGTGATGTCTCCCAGTGAGGGGGAGGCAGCCGCCAAGTCGGGTGCGAAATGAGAGACCAAGTGTTAGATTAGGGTTAGGGGTTAGGGTTAGGGTGAGTGCATCACAGGGGAGCCTGGACCCTGTCTACTCACTGGGAATAAACCCAGCATTGCTCTGGGAAGAATTTAGACAAGTGGAAGTTCTCATAGTAATAGGAACAGTCAATCATGGCAAATTTAATTTGCTGTTAATCAGTTTCCTCGACTTTCACTTAGGGTTAATTAACCTTAACCTCTCTTACCTGATAAAAACAAGATGCGACAAAGAAAGGTAATTTTCAACTTTGAAGGTTAGACATAACAAAGCAGCAGTAATAACACAAATATTAATAGAATAAGAATACGATAAAAACTTTATTGAACACCTATATATCAGAAGCTTGAGTCTAACTAAATACTTTACTTATGTTGCTATACATGTTAGATATTATTATCTTCATTTCAGATGAAAAAAATTACTTGAAGTAACTTGCCCAGTCATGAAACTATTAAGTGATCAGGTTGTGAGTGGAGCCTAGCATACAAAAGTTTCCATTTGCAACTCTAAGTTTCTAGCAGTGGCTCAGAGTGGCTGAGAACTTGGAAACAGTGTCTGGGGATGGCCAGAAAGAGTACCAGTATTGATTAGCAAGGACTGGGGTAGCAGAACATAAGCCGCCTATTTCCTTGCTGCATTACTCTGCCTCTCAACTTAGGGAGCAAAAAAAAGTTTCCTTGCCTTAAAGTTTATTTTGGTAAAGTGTGTGTGACACTGTTAGGGTAAAAGCCCCCTAGGTCCAAAGTGTTTAGTGGCTAAAATGTGCTGGGCCCAAGCTCGTGGCTTCTCACAAATGACAGTCATTGCATTGGCCCAGCAGTCACCCAGGGCTCCCCAGCCATGGCATTGTCCCATCCCAACAATGCGCCTTTGCCCACAGACACATGGGCCCAATGGCTGGCACTGACGGTTTCCCTGAAAAGTGCCACTGTCCTCTGTTCTGAGTCAGCCTTATTGTTCAGAGCTTAGGGAATGAGGCTTATGTCCAGATATGGGACAATAATATGAGCTATACACTTGTTGTCAGCAATATTGTGGATTACCATGATATCAAAACCTTCCATTCTAAAATGCTCTGAAATGACCTCTCAATACTCGTGGTCCTCAACCTTGAAGCTACCTATTTGCCCCTGATCTAAATGCCACTTCTTGAGAAACTTCCAGGACCACTTGCCCCACTTCTTGAGAAACTTCCAGGACCACTTAACCTATAGTTAACTTATTGATTTTTCACCCAAGCAGCTAAAACTATGCCAATAACCATTTAATGAGAACAAATTAAATTGAGGTAATATCTTTGAATTTGGGAGTAAACTGTATAATGAACTACATAGTGAAACATCATCAGTTTATAAAATACTTTGGGACTTTTAAGGCCTGGGAAAAGAAAGGAAAGTAACTATTTCGAAGGCAGTTTCTTTGGATCTACTTTGATCATGTGCAAAGCACACAGTCTAGCAGCACAGGTTGTAGAGGAAGGATTCTAGACTGTGTAATTTCTGGATACGGTAGGCTGAAGTTGTGGGGGAGGGGATGCTTTACAAAATATGCTTGAATGGTCCCCCAAAAATCATTGACCTGGGGCTAATGAACAAAGAGTGATACAATTTGAAATCATTTGTGTGTTCTCTTGCTCTTAGTGTGTACAAAAGTCATTGACATCTCCCCCACTGTCATACGAAAAGCAGAAAATTGATGTAATGAGCAGTTCACCAGCAGTCTCTATGACTAGGTGCATTTTTTAGCCACAGAAGGAACTTCTGCACAAAATGTTAACTTGCTTTCAAAAGCCTGCTGAAAGTCAGATTTTGTGTGTTGTGTCTACTGGAATGCTTTGGACTGCAAGGAATAGAAACCAAAACTCTAAAAGGCTTGTACAGTAAGGAAGATTTCCTATCTCAAGAACAAGAAGTGTTGAGTAGGGAGTCACTGAAAGATGGATTCATTCAGCAGCTCAGTCACATCTTAAACTACTTTGCCATCCTCTGAGATGGCTTTGTCTTCAAGGGAGATGTTCATGGTTGCAAGACGACTACTGAGTTTCCAGACAGTACATGTTATAGGGCAAGGAAATCTTCCCCAAACTCCCAGCAGCCCTTGGCATATCACATTGGCTAGAATTGGGTCACATACCTGTTCCATGCCCATCCTACAAACCACTGGTTAGGAAAATGGGATTACTAAAAGTGGCTTAGTTAAGATTTACTCCCAAATTAGAGATAAGGTTAAAGTTGGAAAAATCTGGCTAGGCATAGTGGCTCACACCTGTAGTCCCAGCACTTTGGGAGCCCGAGCCAAGAGGATTGTTGGAGCCCAGGAGTTCCAGATCAGCCTGGACAACATAGCAAGACCTCATCTCTACAAAAAAAAAAAATTTTTTTTTAAGAAAAAGTAAGCCAGGCATGGTGACACTTATCTGTAGTCTCATCTACTCAGGAGACTGAGGCAGAAGGATTGCCTGAGCCCAGGAGATCAAGGCTGCAATGAGCTGTGATCATGCCACTGCACTCCAGCCTGGGCAACAGTGAGACCTCGACTCAGAAAAAAAAGTTAGAAGAACCTGAACAAAATCAGTATTCCCTTAATATAGAGAAGGACGAAGGTACTTGGCTCTTGAATAGGCAACCAGCATTGTCTACTACATATGTTCAATGGAAAGGCCACATTCATTTGTCCATATTACCTTCTATAAAAAAGAATCAGTGTCCAAGGTGCAATGCCGTATTAATTGGGTGATGGTGGCAATTTTTCATATTGAAACGTAACCATCATCTGGTGAGGTAAAGACAAAGCAGAAAAAAAATTTTCAGATAGAAAAATCTCCATGACTTGACTTACTAATGAAATCCAACTCTGCATCCCCAAATTAAGACATTTAATTGACTGTAAATACAGGTCATTCCACTAGAAGGAGACATTTCTTTGAGATAACAAAGTGACAAGAAGCCAGTTTTGGAATGCATGGAGAAGCAGAAGACAAAGCATATGCAGAGGTCCTGAGGCAAAAAACTGAAAATATTGGAATGTTTAGCTCATAGTGAGTGGGAAGAAAATGCCAGGTGGTGAAGGTGGAAAATGGAGAGAGGGAGGCTTTGTAGGTCCTGGTTTGGAGTTGAGAGTTTCATTCTAAGTACAGAGGGAAGCCACTGAAGGATTAAATAAGGCCTACATCTGTAAAATGACAATAATTCTATATAGGATCATTTCATGCATTGGAAGGAGTAAGGCCATTTGATGTAGTCTATATGCCCTTAGAGAAGCTATGCATAAAACCCCAACTTAGAGACAGATGCCAGGAATTCAACTTTTTTACCTTGATTCTAGATGCATGTTTTGCAGACAGAATAACTTAGCAGAATGATTTGTCCTAAAGCAACTTGAAGACATTTTAAATAAAAAATAGTGCATCCACTTCCCATTCAGTTCATCAACCGTTGTTTACTCCTTTATCTTTCATCTGATTCCTAGAAGATGCCACCCTTTGGAACGGAAAAAAAGATGAGCAGGTACATTTTCCCCATGTGGTCAGCAATTGTCTTTTCAGTCCTGGGCATGGTTGCTTACTCTGGGCTATGGACTGAGAGGGGTTACTTACTCCCTCCTGGAGGCTGCTCATTCAGGCTGCCAGATCCTTTCATGCTGCAAGTTTCCTTTTTTTTATACTTCCAACAATCTTTCATTTCTCTCTCTCTCTCTCTCTCTCTCTCTCTCTCTCTCTCTCTCTCTCTCTCTCTCTCTCTCTCACACACACACACACACACACACACACACGGATACAAGGTCTCTCTATGTTGCTTAGGCTGATCTTAAACTCCTGTGCTCAAGTCATCCTCCTCAAGTGCTGCTGAGATTATAGGTGTGAGCCACCGTGCCAGCTACCACTTTTTTCAACAGTCTTTATTGAGCACCTGTGTCTGTGTGGAGACAAACACATGGCAGGGAATAAAAGAGCAGTTGTTAATACACAGTGATGGAGAACTCAGGGAGTGGGCACTTCTCTCTGCCTGGGTGGGCTTCCTGGAGGAGGCAACAGTAGAGCCAAGTTTTGCCAGAGTCTCCTTCTGGCTCCTGTGAGAAAGATGGATCCGAAAGTGGAAAGGGATCGCCAAGGACAGTGGTTTGGAACCTGCTGCAGGAATCCAAGAAGTGGCCGAAAAGGCCTGGGTCGATAAGGCCAGTTCAGAGGTAGAGGAAGAGCTGGCTTAAAGAGATATGCAACTGGGCTGTAATCCCGCGCCTTTGGGAGGCTGAGGTGAGTGGATTGCCTGAGCCCGCAGGTTCGAGACCCGCCTGGGCAGCGAGACCTCATCTCTACAATAAATCAAAAAATCAGCCGGGCGTGGTAGAGCATGCATGTAATTCCGGCTACTTGGAAGGCTGAGGCGGAAGGATCGCCGGAGCCCAGCAGGTCGAGGCTGCGGTGGTTGGGAGCGGCCACTGCACTCCAGTCTGGGTGACAGAGTGAGACTCCAACTCAAAAAAATAAAGAGATATGCAGGTGTTCAGGGAGTAGTACGACCAGTGAGGGTTGGAGCAGGACTGGGCATAGACTAAAGTGAGATACTTCCAAGAGTTTTAGCCCCACCCATCCCCTCCCCAAGGAATAGTTCTCAGGCTGAAACACAAAACTCCCAGAGCCCTTCTTGAGCTCTGGACCCCAATGCTCTCTTGGAACATTGATGAAGAGTAAGTGGTGTTGTGTCTGGTGTCACAGTAAAGTGCTTAAAAAGCTTTGTTAGCTCTTGTTTCTAGAGCATTTTAAGATGCTTCCAAGTGAATGCAAATTATTATGGTTCTTCTGTGCCTATGGTTCTAGTTGCCACTGGGCAACTAGTCTTCTAAGTATGGTTCACGTGAGAAGTGAACAGATTTTCCTAAGTGTTGTTTCTTTTCTTTTTTCGTTGTGAAGTATATTCGGTGCTCTTCGAACTGGTGCTTATATGGTGTACATGTTGATGACCAAAGGCCTGAAGCAGTCCGTTTGTGACCAGAGTTTTTACAATGGACCTGTCAGCAAATTCTGGGCGTATGCATTTGTGCTAAGCAAAGCACCCGAACTAGGTGAGTGTCTTCTCTCCTTCCATTTTCTCTCCCCTCTTTGTAGCTACACATCTACAATATTTATTAAGAGGGAACAGAGACAATGTCAAGGTCCAATTTTGTTGGTTATAGGAAAGTTACAATAAATGGGTTTGAGATTTGTTTTGTTTTGTTTTTGAGTGGAGGTCTCACTGTCATTCAAACTAGAGTACAGTGGTGCGATCACAGCTCACTGCAGCATCGACCTCCCGGACTCAGACTACCCTTTCCTGCCTTAGCCTCCCAAGTAACTGGGACTACGGGCAAGTGCCTCCATACCCGGCTAATTTTTTTTCTATTTTGTACAGAGTCTTGCTTATGTTACCCAGGCTGGTCTCAAACTCCTGGCCTCAAGCAATCCTCTCATCTCAGTCTCCCAAAGTGCTGGGGAATTTGTTTTGGACTGACTTCCACTTTCTATTTCTCTCTCCCCTCATCTTTTAAATATTTTTAGATTGTGTATATTAAGAACAACATAGTTTACATAGAACATACTGATTTACAATACTAAAAATACACTTAACTGGGCGCGGTGGCTCATGCTTTTAATCCCAGCACTTTGGGAGGCTGAGGTGAGAGGATTCCCTGAGCCCATGGGTTAGAGATCACCCTGGGCAACTTGGAGAGACCTCATATCTACAATAAATTAAAAAATTAGCTGGATGTGGTGGCACATGCTTGTAGTTCCAGCTACTTGGAAGGCTGAGGAGGAAGGATCACCTGAGCCCAGCAGGTTGAGACTGCAGTGGCCATGAGTGTGCCACTGCACTCCAGCCTGAGCAACAGAGTCAGATTCTGACTCAAAAAAAATAAATAAATACTTTCGGGGGTTTACAAAATTTGCACGGTCCCTGTCTAGAGCCCATTAGTCTAATATTGAAATATGAGGAAAGGAGCAAAAACAGCTATTTCCAAGTCCCATATCTGGGCCTATTTTCACTTCCAAAGTTAGGACTCAGATTTGGAAATGAAGTTTTTCACTGGGGTATCTCTATGTTCTCATTAACAAGGATAGGTCTCTGGTATTGTTTGATTTTAATCATCAATATGAGACTGGCTTTAGAGAAAGAGAAATCAATAGAAAATAGAAAATCAATAGAAAATAGAAAGAAATCAATAGAAAATACTGGCTATATTAGTGGATTTCTATGTTTTTTTTCTTCAACTCTTTAAAGGTCTTGATTATAAGTATGGCATAGATTAGCAGAAACAGTGAAAAATTAAGTGGCAAGGATTTAATAATGGGCACCATTCTCCAGAAAAATGTCTTTATTGCCAGAGAAATGTATCTGCTGGTGACAATAAACTCTGAGTTCATGCATGGGTAATGTTAGCCACCATCTCACCAACTGGCACATATTCTTAGAGGAGACCTGGTCTCCCTATGGATTTAATTTTTTTTATCTGGAATTAACAATTATATATATTGACCAGGCACAGTGGCTCACACCTGTAATCCCAGCACTTTGGGAGGTGGAGGCAAGAGGATTGCCTGAATCCAGGGGTTCGAGACCAGCCTAGGCAACTTGGCGACCTTGTCTCTACAATAAATCAAAAAATAGCTGGGTGTGGTAGCATGCACATGTATGTAATTTCAGCTACTTGGAAGGTTGAAGTGGAAGGATCACCTAAGTCCAGCAGATCAAGGCTATGGTGGACATGAACATGCCACTGTGCTCCAGCCTCGGTGACAGAGTGAGACAATCGACTCCAAAAAATAATAAGAATAATGCATTATTAGCGTTTGAGAATTATTCAAGTTGAAAAATATCCTAGCCCCTGCTTTTCTTTTATGTTGTACAAATATCCCTATTAAGTTCCCATCTTTTTTGACAAAGGTCTTACTACATATACATGTAGTAAGTGCATGAAACATGCCACTCCTGAACACTTTCACAATTTTTACCTTTTGCTACTTTCACAAAATTAAAAATATTAATAACAATAAATAAGAAATGGTATGGTATGGGCCTTTAAGTCTCAGTGTATAGCTGCAAATTCGGTCTTTCCTTCTAGAAATGCCTTTTCTCTGCAGCAGCCAATTGTCTGTGTTAGGTTCTGAGTTTTCTCCAGCTGTTTTGGAGCGACTTGAGATCAAGAATAGTCCTTCCTACCTTCTGGAAGAATAATTTGTTGCAGTGCCACCTATTCATCGTGTCAGTTGCCTTCAATGACGTGACTAGACCTATGCTCTCTGTCCTTTTGGCTTCTACTCGGGTTGAAATCAATGTTTTGGGATGGTGGACAGAGTTAGGATTCTTGGAGAAGAACAAGTCATGCAGCACCCAAAGGTGCTTGCTCTCATCCTCCTTGGTTGTGTGGGTCCTGATGGTGCTATTAACCCATCTGAATCTAATCCAGGCCTGAATATTCCACATCCCTCATCCCCAAGCAGACATTATAACTACACAGCCTTTCCCCTTGAGCCCAGAAGGAGCCACACTCAAATCTTCCCCCTGCAGCATGCTGCTGGCAACATCATCCCTTTTCCCGAAGAGGCCTTGTTCACCACAGTAATTTGTAGTAGTAGTTTGTGGATTTTCCAATATTCCATCCCTCTGTGGTTATGATATGGGATGGAAGTGTTAGGAAAAAAACAATATCCTAAACTTGACATTGTTTTTGAATGAAACCAATTAATGGCACATATCCTTTTTTTTTTGAGATAGAGTCTCACTCTGTCATCCAGACTAGAGTGCAGTGGCCACTCCCAGCCACCACAGCCTCGACCTGCTGGGCTCTGGCGATCCTTCCACCTCAGCCTTCCAAGTAGCCGGAATTACAGGCGCGCGCTACCACGCCCAGCTGATTTTTTGATTTATTGTAGAGATGAGGTCTCGCTGCCCAGGCGGGTCTTGAACCCGCGGGCTCAGGCAATCCACTCACTTCAGCCTCCCAAAGGCGCGGGATTACAGGCTGAGCCACCGAGCCCGGCTTTTGACACATATTCTTCATATAGTTTCAGATACTTTAATTTTTTTTTTTTTTTTTTTGAGTCGGAGTCTCACTTCGTAGCCCAGGGTGGAGTGCAGTGGCACAATCACAGCCACCCCCCACATCGACCTGCTGGGCTCCGGCGATCCTTCTGCCCCAGCCTTCCAAGTAGCCAAAACTACAGGCGTGCGCTACCACACCCAGCTAATTTTTGATTTATTGTAGAGTTGAGGTCTCACCAAGTTGCCCAGACTGGTCTCGAACCTGCAGGCTCAGGCAGTCCACTCGCCTTGGCCTTCCAAAGTGCTGGGATTACAGGTTGAGCCACTGAGTCCGGCCAGTTTCAGATACTTTATAGGGACATTTTCTTATTTTGAGTACCCCTTCTTAAATTTCTATATTTTTATATGTTATTTTATTTTATTTTATTTTGCGTCAGGGTCTCACTCTGTCATCCAGGCTGGAGTACAGTGGCAATCACAGCTCAATGCAGCCTTGACTTCCTGGGCTCAGGCAAATCCTGCCTCAACCTGCCAAGTCTGGGTACCCTCTTCTGCACAAAGAGATGGGTGGGCTCCCTGGGAATACAGGCATGGGCTACTATACCCAGCTTTTTTTTTTTTTAATTTTTAAAATTTTTATAGAGATGAGGTCTTACTATGTTGCCCAGGCTGGTCTTGAACCCCTGGGCTCAAGTAGTCCTCCTGCCTCAGCCTCCCAAGGTACAAAGATTACAGGTGTGAGCCACCACTCCCAGCAATTTAAAAAAAAATTTTTTTTGAGTTGGAGTCTCACTCTGTCTCCCAGCAGGAATGTAGTGGCACACTCAAGGCCACCGCAGCCTCGACCTGCTGGACTCAGGCCTTCCAAGTAGCTGGAACTACAGGTGTGCACCACCACGCCTGGCTGATTTTTTGATTTATTGTAGAGACAAGGTCTCACCAAGTTGCCCAGGCTGATCTTGAACCCCTGGACTCAGGCAGTCCTCTTGCCTCGGCCTCCCAAAGTGCTGGGATTACAGGCTTGAGCCACCGCGCCCAGCCTGCAGTTAAATTTTCAAATACAAAATATTGTCCTTCAAAAGTTCTGGCGCTCTGTTGACAAGAGCCTTTCTGAGGTGTCCTGCTGAGTCAAAACAGATCCAAAAATCAGTGCAGCTGTCTCTAAGATAGCCAGTCCCTCTCCCTTTTTAAGTGAACATGTTGACTTGGATGCCTTTTTTTAATTACTATCATTTTGGAAGTTAAATTCCTACCCAGATTTTGGGGTAGAAAAAATTTCTAGATTTTCTATCCAGAAATTAGAAAGCCTGTCCCTACTATTTAATTAAGAAAGATTTACTCATTTGGATTATTTGGAATTCTTCTTTATTTTCGTTCCCAAATCTTGCCTTTTGGTATTCTAAGATACCGGGCTCCCTTCTAAGCACCAAATGGAAAAGATCTTGTGAGAAAAGAGAATAGTTTTTCTGTGTTCAATACTGAAACTGTACCTTCTCCCCAAACTCACATGTCTGCAGTTTCCATTACATTCCTTTTTTTATTGTAGTAAAATATACATAATATTCACATTGTTGTACAACTATCACAACATTTGTCTCCAGAACTTTTGCATCTTCCCCAACTGCAAGTCGACCCAGTCAACACTAACTCCTCCTTAGTGAAACTCCTAATAAATAGCAAGAAGAGCTTTCTGTTTCTGCAGAAAACAGTGAGTTCATTTCAACTGATTTGTAGGGTTAGAATCTACTAGAACAAGTCGAGAGGGAGAGAGTCACCAGCCTGTTTTGTGTGCCAAACCACTGAGCACCTACTATTTGGATTATATTAAAACCTGCTGAGATTTGGTTTTGTTAAAACTTGGAAACATCTGCCCTGAGCCTCAGCCCTTGCTCCGCTGAGCGTGTCATTGTTTTTGAAGCTCTGACTCAGCAGCTGTCCAGCTAGCACTGCGAAGAGGGACTCAGCCATCTGTGACAAGCCACATGCACAGAGCAGGCGTTCTCTCTCTCTTGATAGCCAAGAGTACCCTGGGAGTTTCTAAATGCTTCCCCATCACTGCACAGAGATCTGTACTTGGGGTGCACACGTGGAAGGTGTCATTTCCGAGGGAACCCTTAGATGGAAGAAGCACCATGCTCTGTCTGCCAACTGTCTCTTGACAGGAAATAGCTGGACCAGAGATTAGAGAGATTATGGTAGAGAGAACATGAGCCAGGTGGTAGCTAAATTAGGTGACATGACTGAAACATTCAAGAGCCAAAAGTCCCATTGTTTTCACTTGGCCAACATCCTTTCCATGTTGCCAGTAGGATGCTGGGCCAAGAAAGATTGGTTGGCCAACGTCAAATACACAGTCCCTGGGACAGTTTACATTTCTGGGTCACTCTGTAGCTTCTGGAAAGGCTGTAAATACCACGACTTGGCATGACTTGGGTGAATGACAAATTAAATGTGACATTATGTGATTTCCCCAGAGGAAAACTAATTTGTACCTGCCAATGTGGCATGCATGATACGTCTCCACTACGCTATCAAAGACCGAAAGGAGTGTTGTTTGACTCTTTTGGAACCCCACTCGTTTTTCCTTTCCCAAGGGAAAATTCTTTGGGTCAGCGATCTTGGGAATAGTCACCTTAATTTGGCTTTGGAGTGGTGCTCCTGACAGGCTCCAGAGCCCTTATTGGGAGACACTCATCTTCACTACTTCATTTACCATATTCTGAAACTAATTCTTAAGTGAATTCAAATTCATTTTCTTATCAAGATTTCGAGGCCTGTCCTTACCCCTCCACCCCACTCCCCTTCCCAGAGTCACTAGAAACACCCAGTGTGTCTCAGATCAAGCCTGAGAAACCCCTACCCTCACCTCCAGACAGGAAATACACAAAACAACTCAACTCCAAAACTGTAGGTGCCACTTTCCAGTCCACATTAGCCCATTCTAATGTGGATTGTCTTCATCATTCTTTTCTTTTCTTTTTTTTTTTTTTTTTTTAGTTAGGGATCTTACTCTGTCAACCAGGTTAAAGTGCTTTGGCACAATCACAGCTCACCGCAGCCTCAACCTTTTAGGCTTAAGTGATCCTTCCACTTCAGCCACCCGAATAGTTGGGACTACAGATGCATGCCACTGTGCCCAGCGAATTTTTTTCTTTTTCTTTTTTTGTAGAGACAAGGTCTCACTGTGTTGCCCAGGCTGGTCTCAAACTCCTGGCCTCAAGCAATCCTCCCGCCTTGGCCTCCCAAAGTGCTGGGATTACAGGCATGAGCCACTGCACCTGACCGTCATCATCTTTATACAATAAAATTCTAATGTAAAAGTGATGATAGAGTTAAATTAAATCCAAAGAATTAGAGAGTATGAAATGCTTATTACTTTATGGCAAATAACTTTTATTACAGTGTGTTTGGGTATTGTGTGGGATCTATGTTTTAGTTAATGTTCAGAAACTCATAAAAAACATCTTCTCAATTATGGATGACTAAACGTGTTTTTAATATGCAATCTTTTGGCCATCTATCTTCTTTCCACTATGATCAAAGGTAGGTGGCATTATAGAGAAAGAAAGGGAGACACAAAGGAGTACTTACACAGAAATAGTGGATCTCTGACCGACATGCGGAAAGATCACAGTTTAACACAGAAGTAGACCCCAGGTCTCCTGACACCAGTTTTGTCCTTTAGCTATACACACAGAGTAACCATCACCATCTGTCACCATCAGCCTGCCTGGCATTTATAGATGTCATAAAAATGGGGCATTTGACAGGAGAGAAGAGGACTTCAATGAAAATTTTATAATAGGTTCAGAAGTATAGCAACTGTCAACTTTCCTTTTCTGTTCTAAACAAATAATGAAGAAGTAACACTTAACAATTCAGTGGGGAAATAAACTCACAGCTCCTGACAAATGGAATGGGGCACCGCCTGTGTTATTCCAGCCATGGCCATCAGAACCACGTCTTTCCATGGCCCATTGTTCTTTGACCTTGCCTAGTGCTGAGCAGTCCCGGCCATCCGTGAAATATGTGAGGGACGAGATGGGATAAAGTACTAGTTCTCTTTGTGCTTAATCAAATTTCAGAATGAGAAGTTCTTGTTATAGAGAAAAAAGTTCTAGTTCTTGTTATAGAGAAAAAAGTTTGAGTTCCCCAAAGGTGATGAAAGATGGTTTTTCCCATGTCTGAGAACCATAAAGATAGGAGAAAGAAAGAAGCCTTTACCTGCATACACCTGTTTCTGTCCCACATCCTGGTGTCAGTTCCGGTATTTTCTTGTTAATGGACTTGGTTGGTTTTCTTGTTTGTTTGTTTTTTGAGTTGGAGTCTTACTCTGTCACCCAGGCTGGAACGCAGTGTCACGATCATGGCTCCCTGCAGCTTCGACCTCCTGGACTCAGGTGATCCTTCTGCCTCAGGCTCCCAGGTAGCTGGGACTGCAGGCACACATTACCATTCCCAGCTAATTTTTAAAATTTTTTTGTAGAGACAAGGTCTCGCTATGTTACCCAAGCTGGTCTCAAACTCCTAGGCTCAAACAATCTTCCTGCCTTGGCCTCCCAAAATGCTGGGATTACAGGCATGAGCCACTGCACCCATCCTGGTTGTATTTTTTTACTGGGTTGATTCTTCATCCAAGTTGACATTTCTATAAATCTTCTGAAGTATAGTTTTCAGAATCCCTAGACATTTCAGAGAATCATTATAGATGCCTAGCATCTACTTATCTGAGTATAATTTAGTTTTTGTAGTTTAAATTCCTACCTCAGAAACAGTGGTCTTTTTCTTCAAAGGGATATTGTTAGAAAAATGTTTGATGGATGCTGGAATGCTTTTTCACAGTTAATTCCACAAAATAAAAACTTTTGCTTTTAGTTTTTTTCTCACTTGATTTATTGGTATGAAGCATTCCCACTACTCTTGTTAGCAAATGTGTACAGAAGATGACTTTTGTTCCCCCTTTTTCTGTTACCGCCCTTTAAGTTTTACCTTTCTATGACATTTGGTAAGGTTTCCTAATTTACAAGGAACTCACAAAGATGTATGTTTAAGGGGTACCGTTTGTCATAGATGAAAGAAAAGTTATGGCTTTAGCACTCTAAAGAGGACTATGAACATTTAACTGGGTACTTGAGTTCCAGTCATTTCTTTTGATTGAAAAGTCACCTGTCCCCTCCAGGTGATATTTCCTAAAATGTATGATTGAGTTGAGAATCAGGCAACATAATTGTTAATGAATGCCCCTTCCAGATCAATAATCAATAGGATCTTGTATAAATTACCTCAAAAGAAACATTTGTTGATTGCCTACCCTGTGTGAAGAGGACATGTTGATTATGCTACTCAATCGTCAGAAAATTCCAAACTACTCTTCTTAATTCTCTCCACTTTATAGATGAGGAAACTAGAAAATAGCGGGATAGTAACCTGCCTAAGGTCCCAGAACTAGTAAATACCAGTGCAGTCCAGAATACTAATCCAGTCCATCTGCCTCTCCAGTCCTAACTTCCTTGTAAAACTGTTTAGGTGATTGTCATTTCATGGTCCAGGGGCTCATGTACACACTTCCTCTTCTTTGTCTTTCAGGAGATACAATATTCATTATTCTGAGGAAGCAGAAGCTGATCTTCCTGCACTGGTACCACCACATCACTGTGCTCCTGTACTCTTGGTACTCCTACAAAGACATGATTGCCGGGGGAGGTTGGTTCATGACTATGAACTATGGCGTGCACGCCGTGATGTACTCTTACTATGCCTTGCGGGCGGCAGGTTTCCGCGTCTCCCGGAAGTTTGCCATGTTCATCACCTTGTCCCAGATCACACAGATGCTGATGGGCTGTGTCATTAACTACCTGGTCTTCTACTGGATGCAGCATGACCAGTGTCACTCTCACTTTCAGAACATCTTCTGGTCCTCACTCATGTACCTCAGCTACCTTGTGCTCTTCTGCCATTTCTTCTTTGAGGCCTACATCGGCAAAATGAGGAAAACAACGAAGGCTGAATAGTGTGGAACTGAGGAGGAAGCCATAGCTCAGGGTCATCAAGAAAAACAATAGACAAAAGAAAATGGCACAAGGAATCACATATGGTGCAGCTAAAACAAAACAAAACACACGAGCAAACACAAAACCCAAGGCAGCTTAGGGATAATTAGGCTGACTTAACCCAGTAAGTTTATGATCCTTTTAGGGTGAGGACTCACTGAGTGCATCTCCATCTCCAAGCACAGCTGCTGGGAGACTCCATTCCCTCTTTATCTGTCAACTCTAGGACAAAGGAGAACAGAAGTGAGCCGAAGGCAGAGACTAACAGAAGGCAGACAAAGGATGTTAATACTAGATGAAAAAGTGAATTTACTAAGTGTTCTATTTCTCTAAGGATGAAAGAATTTTACTTTAAAAACCGTGCAAGCACGCACAGACACACACACACACACACACGCAGTCCTTTCTAATCTTTATTGACTCTAAACTCAAGCCAATAGAAAAGATAGAATGCAAGAGACACAGGGTGTATCTAAGAACAACAACGCTTTTGCAGAAATGAAAGCCTTTTAAAGAAAGGTTTGCTGTTGTAGCCCCTATGAGAAAAGATGTCGTGATCATCCTTGTGAAAACAGACGTGAGCCACTATATTTCTTCACCTAAGAGAAGACCGCTGGCCACTCATAGCCTCGGGCTTAGTGAGTCTGTCCAAACCAAAGGGGGCGCAGTCCTTTCCCACGGCTCCTCCTGGGAGGATGGAAACTGGTCCCACAGGGGCGGCCCCACCCCAGAGCATTCCTGATCGTTGAACTGTAAGTTCTACTCCTAAATGAGATAGGAAGCATTGTCCTTGTGTTCAGTTGCCCTAGGCTTTTGGACAGAAGAGTAAATGCAGAATCAGAACGATAAAAACTCAACCAAATGATTTGGTAATGGGTTTTGTACTACCTGTAAAAAGGCCCGGCCCAGTACCACTGTCAGCGGGAAGAGAGGTGGGTGAGCTGGAGATCAATTCCATAGCCGATAGGTACACTCCCTCTATATTGGACTTCACACACACTCATGACTTTCCTGTAGCACAGTGCATATTTTCTATATTTTTGTGAATTTCAAAAAAAGAAACCTGCAGGGCTCTTCCTGATCCTGGATGAACACTGTGTTTCTACATCATCTGCATTTGCTCCCCAAGCAATGTAGAGGTGTATAAAGTGCCCTCTGCTGGCTGAGTGAAGATACTTCAACAAACACACTTCATGGCAAGTTTGGCTGAAAACAGTTGAGGAAAAAGGTCCCCTCCCCCCAAATAGATACTCATCCTTTACATTTTAAATGATATAAAATCCTTGTCATATTTTTGGCTAAATCAGAAGATATCCATCCTGCTTCAAGTCATCTTCAGAAATTTTTTAAAAGGGACATTCGCTCTGGAACTAAAAATAAATTTATCAAGAGCCATATTCTTAAAAAAAAAAAAAAGAAAAAGAAAGAAAGCTAGGTTATATTAACTGTAATATTTCAGTCCTTTACAAGCCAAATAAATGTGTCAATGTTCCTAGTATTTCAAAGAAGCAATTATGTAAAGTTGTTCAATGTGACATAATAGTGTTATAATTGGTTAAGTAACTTAATGATTAGGCATATAGATGAACAGATTAGGGGCTACTTCCATCACATAGATTATACGCACGTCACCACACATACATGCACACAGATGTGGGGTACACTGAACTTCAAAGCCCAAATGAATAGAAACACATTTTCTGGCTAGCAGAAAAAAAGAAAGTGTTGTTTATCTTTCTTGCTTTATTTGAGAGTGTACAGTAAAAGGGATTTTTCAAATTATTTTTATATTATTTTAGCTTTAATCGTGCTGTCATTTATGAAACAGAGCTGCTCTACTCTTCTGTCAGAAATGGCAAGAGCTTTTTCAGCATCTTGTTTATGTGTGGAGTTTAAAAAGAATAAAGTTTTATTCCATTCTGTGTGAATGGTTTGAGCAATGAACAAAGAATCCATGCAAACCAAGTCATGTCTGGAAGCACTGGGGCTGAAGGGGCGGTGCCGAGGAGGAAAGCTGTTAGATCTGTGTTAAATTATTGTGAACGATCGATGATGTCTTGTTCCTAGATGAGCCATGGTTGATGGAGGAATGTATAATTATTTGGGTAAAAACTGACATGGGCTGAAAAGATACATCCTGCTAACAACTAGTAGAACTTTAGGATGCAAATAATATTATTTTGAGCTTTGCAAATCCATGATACTATGCAATAAACCCCTTTTCCATATAACAAGATGAGCAGGATAATTAAAATGAGGAAAAGGTCACATAACAGTTGACTTGATTTAATTGAAGGACCCATTAGAGGCTCATCTGGTTGATTTCATTACTTAATTCTGTGATTTACTGGGGATCCTGTGATGAAGGTTAGAATGAGGAGATGAGCAGAAACCTGAAAAAGACTCTAAATGATGCTTCCAAACACTTTCAGATTGGCGTTAGGTTCATGTTCGTGTTCACTTGTAAAAAAGAATTCCGAATTTTTGTTTACAGGTTGAGTGTCTAATAAATAGTTGTTAAACTAGCTAAATATATCCAAAGACATTTTTTATGTTTATCATGAGAGGAAAAAAGCCAGAAGTTTAAAAACAAACAAACAAACACACACACACACAAATTCTGGTATTACAGGTTCAGTACATTGTTTTTAACATCTCAGTTTGGCGGCTTCAGTTATATCAAGATAAGAGGCTGGATCACTGGCCTATGACAAATCTAAACCTACCAGAGAATTGACTGCCACATAGATAATCCTGCTGCCAGTTAACATTCCAGAAAAACTTGGGCAGGCAAGTTTTTATAGCTGCCCCACTATGCTGCAATAGATAATCTTTCTACTGAGGATTTTCCACTGCATTCCAATCCTAGTATGGTGAAAAAAAAACTCATTCATGGACCAAAAACAAAAAACCAAGATTTCACACACACACACACACACACACACACACGGATCCATACACTAGTCTCAGCATCAACCCAAGTCTAAGGGTTTGCAATGAAATTCTAGTGAGAAGTGCTCTCTTCATAGAGTAGGGGTGCTTACCTGAATCTTCTAGTTCTGCTTGCGAGAGAAGAGTAACTACTATATTACTTCCATCATATGCCAGGCCAAAATACCAAATTAAAATCATGGATGGAGGTTGTTATTTCTGGTCCTCTACTTCCATCCTTCTAATCATGCTCCACTATAAGAATAGGAGGGCAAGAGAAAATCCATTACATGCGCGGTGCTGGCAGGATTGAAAATGTTGGCATCCCCCCTGCTCACCTCTCCGCCTCACTTTACTTATGTAAAGAGACTGGCTAGTACAGAGACTAAGGTACCTGGACTGACTTGGAAACTTCACGAGTGGGGATTTGTAGAGCTGAGTGGAGAGACAGTAGGAACCTAGGAGAACACTGCTAGGAAAGAGACCCACGGAATTTTTTTTTTAAATCAGATGTATCTTCATAAGATAGAGCCTGTCCCATCCGAGCACCTGTGTTCAGTAGCAATGGAGTAGAGTGTTCCAAAAGCCTGGATGTATTTCCAGGCTGCTGAATTATCTGGGAGAGAAGATGCTCAGGTTACTTACTATCTGTTCTCCATTCTGATAGAATAGCTCCTACTTAGAAATTGTATATGTGTCACATGCTGAGGTAGCTACAGCACATTCCGAGGGCTCCCCCCACCCAGTTTGGTTAACGATTCTTTAATAAAGTTGCTGGATTGGCCAAGTGCAAATTCAACAAAGCCCTGAGGAGAATGGTGACCAAATAGACCTTGCCTCCCAGAGTTCAGAGTTTTGAATGATATACGTATGATCCATGTCTGTCTCTTTTAGATACTTAATTTCGTTGAAAAAGTTTCCATCCTGAAAAGTAACATCATGTTGGAATCTCATGAGGAGAGCGCTCAGAACTTTCCAGTAGATAAATGTAATGTCTTTTTCCAATCTTTGTTTTTCGATCATAAATATCTTGCAGTCAATTTAGGGTAACAAGAGAACCTGTGTTCGTGCTGTCAGTCATTGTCTCCCACATCTTTTTAAGGAAGTTCTTCTGTCTCTTATATACGACCTCTAATTCTTTGTGCCTCAGACACATTGCCATCAGGAAAAGATTTTGCCAAGAATGTACCACAGCGTTTGGCCCATGGTGTATACACTATTAAAACGAGAGTGGATAAAGCAATGTTGCTCTATTTTGTTCTGACAATCAGCATGAAGTGGTAGGTCCCAGTTTGCCAATGAGCCAATAGTCTCTGTATGCTGGTATCCAATACCTACAGAAAATCAGTGTCAGTGAAGTCACAGCATTTTCTTGAATGTTGTTGTGACAGACTCCGGTTACATCTGTGTACCATATGGCAGAATTCATAGTGGAAGAGGTCCGTTAAGTACACCTACACAGAGCACTGAAGAATATTCTAGAGCCTGTTGGATCATCAAGTTACTTTCCTCATTCTCAGATGCTTTGACAATTCAGGGCTCACAGAGGAGAGGCAGGCAATTCCCAGGCTTCCCTTACTCCTGAATGACACTTTTCAAAGAAGGTATTGCCGAAGTTGTTGTAGCAGTTAGATGGATGGTGGGAGCACATTGAGCAGGTTTGGGGAAGTCTCAGAAATGGCACTTTGATTTTATGTGAGGCAGGCCAAAGTCTCGCAGTCAGATATCTCTCACTGGAAAAGGGCCCAACCCCACCACTGCACGGCAGTAAACGCCTCTCAAAGTAACCGGCTGAACTAAAGAAACTGGTCCCCTAAATCAAGGTCAAGCCACATTTGCAACCTATTTGGGCCAGAAATGAAAAGTTGGTACTTTAAACACTGTTATCCTCCCAATGCTTGGTGACACTGAGACTTTTTCTCCCAGTGGATGAAAACCAAGGATGTTCCAGGCAGGAGGTTGAAAGCCCCTGGAAGACTGCTTAGGGGCCCCAGAGCTGTGTTCAGATGGAAGCCCACCTATATCAGCCTCACAGAGCAAAGTCACAGCTATGTTGGAATTGTTATTTTCAAGTGCTTATTTCACGACATTAAGAAAAAATATTTTTTTCCTGGTGTATTAAAATTAAAAATAAAATCATAACTTTTGACTTAAAATCAAGCTATATTTCTGGTTTCTTTTCTTTCTTGTACCGAGCAGTTTAGATGGGACATCCAGAGTAGCTGAGATTACAGGCATGTGCACCACACCCAGCTAATTTTTTTTTTTTTTTTTTTGTAGAGACAAGGTCTCGCTATGTTGCCCAGGCTGACCTCGAACTCTGGGCTCAAGATAATCCTCCCACCTTGGCCTCCCAAAGTGCTGGAATTACAGGCATGAGCCCCCACCACGCCTGGCCTAATATTTCTATTATATGTTCTGCTTTTCACAGTTCTTCATCTATATGATAGCTGAAGGAAGGAACCTTTGGAATTTCACTGTATTTTCTTAAGCATTACAGAATGTGTATTTATATGGGAAAGATCATATGCACACTATGAAAACAAGTGGCAGCCTAAAGGTTAGGTGCCAGCCCCCTTCTGACACGCCACCTTGCCATCTCACTCCTGGATTCTGTCATCTTTGGTATGTTGGGGCCCCCCAGGGTGAAAGCCCCGTGCTGCACTCTGGGATTTCCCACCAGCTTCCTTGTCTATTGACTACACTAATTCCTTTCGTACTACGGGAAGAATTGGTCCCCCTGAGTGCTTCTCTGCTGTGTTTTATTGGTGAAAACTCCAGGCAGCAGATGGCGGACACTCTTGATCTTGTGCTGCCCATTGTGCCCTTCACAATGTAATATATCTCTCAATTTAAAAAAAAAAAGAAACTCCAATGGGTATTTGTCTAATATCTGTCTATGAGAAGGAAAACAGTGTTCGCCATTCCTGCATTCTCCACCACTCCTGGCTAGATGTTTGTGACTATAAAATATCAGAGCATTGTTGCAAAACAAGCAGTTTTTTTTTAAAAGTTAGCAGCAGTTCCAGTTTCCACTCAGAATTATAAGATCAATAAAATATGCATAAACCTACTGAGCTTTCAAATTGACTCAAGCTGCCATGCCAACTCATTTGTTCATTTGCATGTAACCCAAATCTCCCTAGGACCAAGCAGCCTACAGAGGCAGTTTTGTTGTGTTTTGTTTTGTTCTTCCTTTTTGCTGGTTAGCTGCTCCCACTGATGCAGGACCTCTGACTTCCAGCCAAGTCCCTTGATTGCCGGGGGAGTCTCAGGTTCTATTTGGCATTGCTGTTATGTGATCACCACACCCCATATTCCCCGCATTTTCACTGGGCCCAGCTGCTATGGCATCTCTTTCCTGGTCCCTGAGGTCTCTCGATGCACGGCCAGGTACAGCAGGCATCGCTCGCCTCTCTTGGCAGTGGGCCAGACGCCTTTTTCTTCTTGGTTAGATGTTCTGTGTGAAAAAGCCAGCCATTCCTCTATTCCAGGGGCTGAGGGGATAGATTGGGGGAACAGCCTCCACCCTGTAGCAGTGACCCCTGTGTGGGTCAAAGCTCTCCCTGGGTTGAGCTCCTAGAGCCTAGTACCTTCTTCCTCACAGCCCCACTGTAAATAGGCCCCTGTGGCTGCCACCCATGTCCCTAGATTTGCCCAGCCCACCTGAGTACAGCAGAAGTGAGTTATTTTCCTAGAAGCCCCAGCGTTCCTGCAGGATCCCCATTTCCTGCCCCTGTTACATAGGTGTAGATATTGCTGAGACTCACCTCAGTTCAACATATGTCAAGAAATAACAAAATGCAAACATATTTAAGGCAAAGTCCACACCTTTCTGCTTTTCAAACTAAAATACTGCAGAAAGTCACAGTAATTATTTAGATTTTCTCTACTGCTGACAGGGCTTTCTCAGGTGCCCATTTCCCCCTCAACATGCTGGGTGGGACTTAGTGCCGCAGTAAATGCAAGTTTAGTTATTTGTGTTCTGTCTTTTTAG